CAGAACGACTGTACTCCAAACAACGAGCCCTGACTACGTGGAAGAAGCTCATATCGGTCCCCACGTGCAGGAATTCATTTCATGGGGCTTCTAGTATGCCGTGTTTCAAGACTGGTCACTTCGTGTGTGATACTCTGTTCTCCTTTTGTTGCAGTGGTGTCAATTTCTGTCTCCTCTAAGTCTACCAATTCTTTTCTGGCAACATTGTTTAAGACCAAAGTTTGATACAATTTTTGGAAGAACTACTAGTTCTTTTCTAGTCCAGTTGTTCCATGTTTACATCATACCATAATCTTGTAGTAAGGTGTTTTTGCATTTTAAGATTACCCTCTTATCACACTCATTTAACCCCAGATGATTTACTGAGTTCAGATTGCATCTTCCTTGAGTTGCCTTTTTTCAAGGCAATGACTGGTTCATTTTTTAGGTATTGGATTAGACCAGCACGTCCTAAATCTGCCAACACTTACTGCATTTTTATCCTGTGTTCATTTTTAATACAACTGAATTCAGACCACCGAGTCTGATAATTTTTTTTCTTCTTCAAGTGTTAAGTACTGTGGTTTTTTTTCTCTCTAATCATATAATAGCACATTTCATTTGATTTTATTAAAATGCTCATTGCAATTTTTTGGGACAACTCTGATGTTTTGGTGTAGGCATTTTTTCAGTTCCCCTTCATTGTATTAGCCTCCTCAAGTTATGCTTTTATCCTGCGAGGTGTTAATATACTTGAGTTCCCACTAACTCGCCTGTCTATATTGCTGTACTTAGTGGCATTATTTGTATTGGAAACCAAGGCACATTTTGTCGTCGCCAGTACCTCCACAAAATGCTGTCACTTCTTCTGTATCTTTTTTAGTTATTATTTATAAATAAGCGGTCTCACTACTCCTTTGGAATGTAGGGAAGGGTTTTGTGGTTAGAAAAAGAGGTAGCACAAGGGATCCTCTTCTGCGAAGTAGAAATAATAATGTAAGGTATCCCTTCAGTTACTGAGAAACAGACACTCTCTGATAAGGTGCTTGATTTCCATTTACAAAAAATGTTGAAATAGGGTGAAAGATCCTATTGGTTTTGTGCCGCAGTGGCTCCAGCATTCAAGTGTGATTTCCTTGGATGGTTTCTTGGGATTATTGAATATGCGATGGCATTTAGCACTTGGTAATAAGGTGTCTCTGTGACAGCGTACGCAAGTTAGCTGTCAGAGGGCATTCTTGAATATTATTCTCTGTATTCAGGAACTTTTCACCTGCAAGAGTACAGGTGAAGATGTTCCCTATACGGTGGGGAAGGAAAATATTTTACAAGATATTTCCGTAAAGTCAGGATGATTTTCAGAGACAACAGCAATGTAAGTGGAGGATGCTCAGTTCTCCACAGACAACTAAAAACTGTTGGTTATGCATGTGTACTTTGATTAGGTGTAGATAACAAGTGCCGCCTTGTGAAAGTCTGAGGAAACATCCAGACTATTTGTAGTTATGAAAAGAGGGAGATGGAACAAATTGGCACCAAAGTGCTGTTGAGGAGTGAAGCTGTCTGCAATAGAAAGAGCTGCATCTTCTGAAGAGACACAGAGGTCTCTGTAAAACTTCCTCCAAATCTTTCACCTCCCTCCTCAACTTGCTTACGCTTTTTGCTAAGCTTTTACCAGAAACATAGGAGGGAGGGGATGGGGGGAGTGGTCTCTATTCTGGTTTTTCACACCTCTGGCGCAGGGGTCCTTCTCTAGTGAGTAATTGCAGTTCGTGCCTCTGCTGTTGCTTGTGGCTTTTCAAAGCAACATGAATTGTCAGAATTCTGAACAGCCTCTTTGCTGCCCTGACCCTGGGTATCGTCTGGGAAACCACCCAGAATCACTGGTGCTGTTTTCCTGAACCTATGGGCACACAACAGTTGTTCATTGATTTGTACTGGGTTAATGTTTGGAGAGTAGCTGTTGACATGAAAGGAATTTTAGGACAGCAGGTGGGTGGGTGGAATTTCTCTTCCAAAGTTTCCTTTTTCCACAGCAGAGATGCACTTTGGCTTAAAGAAATATATGTTGTATCTGAACATGCCCTATTTGTTTTGCAAATAAGTACTTCCATTTCTGTTTGGATTCATTTACATTTCTCTTCCAAACTCTTTGGATCCATTTACATGGCGGAATGCTAGGTATGCAGCAAGCTGGGTGTCAATTTGTAAGCTATGGAAGCTCCTGGTTAACTTGCCGTGTGAATACCTACACTGAATGTCGGAAGTAGATTATCTAGGTGACATTGGTGGCTGCCTCAGGAAGTGTCAGTCTCCTGGGAAGGACAGGTTGGAGGCTAGGTATTTAGTGCACACTGATTAAACTGATCTCTGAGCCGTCTCTTCTCCAGCCTCAACAACCCCAGTTCTCTCGGCCTCTCGTCCTATGACAGGTCCTCCAGTCCCTCAGGCATCTTTGTGTCCCTTTGCGGGACTTGGCTCAGTCTGGCGTGTACTGGGGAGCCCAGAGCTGGACCTGGCACTCCAGATGTGTCCCACTAGCGCAGAGTGGAGGGGCAGGATCACCTGCCTCAACCTGCTGGCAACACTCCTCCTAACCCAGCCCGGGGTGCTGTTGGCTGCCTTTGCTGCAAGGGCACGTTGCTGGCTCCTGTTTGACTTGGTGTTCACCAGCACCCCCGGGTCTCTTTCTGCAAAGTTCTTTCCAGCTGCTCAGCCTCCAGCCAGTACTGGTGCCTGGGGTAATTCCTCTCATTTCCCTTTGACGAACTCCATAGGTTTCCTGTTGGCCCCTTTCTCTAGCGTGTCAAGGTCCCTCTGAATGGCAGGACAACCACTCCTCTAGTCACAGTGTAGTGAACTGTTCGCTGACTTTTTTTTTTTTTCTGCAGACAAGCCGTTCAGTCTCTGAAGTGCCTTTTGCAGTGTGGCAAAACTTGCTTTCTTTACCTCCCCAATACCATTGCATGGATGGTGTCTGTAGTGATAACAGTCATAAGGCTCTTGAAATAACTCTGGCTTTATAGTCAAGGGTCTTCAAAGCATGTAGGGGAACAACTTCTTTACAAAGTAAGCTAAAACTCAGAGATTCTTGAATATGGTAGGGATCTCTGGATAGCAAGGATAAGTTTCAGGAGATAATGTTTTAAAAACTTAGTCCTCATCAACATTGCATGTTGTGTATCATCATATTCTTTTTTGAAGAGTGTTCATGATAAATAAAGGCTAACTAAAGCTGACTTAAGAAATTGTACTACTGACTGAAAATACTGCCACTTGTGTTTTTTCAGACGCTCCTATCGCAAAAGCTGCTGTTGAAAAGAAACATTTTTTTTTTATAAGAAGAGAATGGGTAAGTTCATCATCTTGGAGGTTTTTTTTGTTTCCTGTAATGTGAAGCATTTTCTCTCTTACATCAGTAGAGGAGATGGATTGTAAGACTTTGAATGTTGATCTTGTCACTGTTTTTCTTGTAGCCTCAAAAGTTGATGGAACTTCCTACAAATGTTCGTTAGGGGGATTTTCTCAAGTGACTGTCCATTTGTCGAAAGGCTTGTTCAGCGTGCATCTATCTACCAATGAACGTCACTCGCTTAATATGCATGCTGCTGACAATGTACATGCTAAAATAGGATGCCTTTAGGCTTTTATAGCACTAAACTTTCAGGTAGCGGACAGGAAAATTTCACTATGTTTTATGTATTTTTTTTGTTTGTTAACTACAGTCAGGCTGTTGGCGTCTGGCTGAGAGATCATAATAAGGACTGGTTTCTGATGAATTACATCTGTGTGATCTGACTAAATGTCTGAATCTGCCTCTGCAAGTGGCTAGCTAATGAAATGTGATTACACAGATTCTGTTTTATCTATGCTTTTTCTGAATGTAGTTTAGCATGTTTGGCACTGGCAGTACTTTATTAAAATTGGCAATAACTACATGGTAATTCAATTTTAACTTCAAATTCACAAAGCAACTTAATTGATGGGGAGATGTTATTAGCTGTAACACTAGATACAATGCGAGGTACTATTCTAATATAGTTAATAGAATTTCTATGTTTTGTCAGAAGGAAAAATGACACTAATAAACAAATGTCAAGTTTGTAGTCTGTATCTGTTTTTCTTCTGTGCTTCTGCATACAATCATAAAATACTGGCAGTGTATTACTTTTCTAGAAGCATACAGATCTCCTCTGTTATACTTTTCCAAGCTGGAAGAACTTCCAGGACTTTCATTTTTAACTTCCTGAAAATCAAATGTTACGTGCAGTGTCAAATTCAAGTGTTTTTTAATGGCATTCTAGCAATGCTTGCTATATTAGTCCCTTGGAAAATACACTATTTGAAAAAAAGGCATTAACTTCCTAGTTTGAATTTGATAGGAATTGTATATTTAGTAGGATAGGGGTTTTTTTACATTAATTTTTTCAAAAATATTTTAATATTACTGCAGTCTTTATTACTTAAGAGTTTATACAGGAACATACAAAGGCCAACTACAGAGCCAGTCTCCTCAGCACGGTGGTGTCCTATTGTGCCGATCCCTGCAGAGGTGCAAAGTAGTCAACGGTGCCTACCCCAGGGAGCGTGCTGCCTGAATAGGCAAGACGGGCAAGATGAGGAAACTGGTCAGGCTGCACAGAATGAACAGTGCGCTGGTGGCAACAGGAGTGTTTTAAAGATAGCACTGCTAGGAGAGAATAAATGAACAAATGGAAAGGGAAGGGGAATAAAGGCTTCTAGAGAAACCAAGTGGAGAGCGGGTACATAGTGAGACAGAAGGGAAACAGAAAAAACACAGTCAAAACTGTCGGGGGGTTTAGTGCTTTTGCACTTTCCCTGTTTTCCCCTAAAGGTCACAACACGGGTGTGCACTAGTGCTGTATGGTTTGGGGTCTGGCTGGGCGGTGTGGGAGGGTGAGTCTTATTTCATGTCATTTCTTCAGTACAGGCATACTGACTGCTTTTGTTCTTACCTGTGCTTCAAAAAGTGCTTTTTTTCCTTGCAGTTTGCATTTTTAAGTATTAGATATGTATTTAAGTAACTTTTAGTAAGTACTAGTACGATAAACATGGCAATAGCCTTATGAAGGGAAGCAGTAGCATGTTCAATTCACTTGAGAATGTCTAAAGGAAAATTTCGTCCCTACATAGATTTTTAGAAATCATGTCAGAAAAAAAAATTCCTACTTTTGTGAAAATTCTTACTTCAAAACAGATTGCTGAGCGCTTCAGAGAAGTCATCTACAAATATGCCAACTGCTTCTGTCTTGTTTCTGGTTGTCTGGGGTTCTTTGGTCAGCGAATATGGTCGTAGAAAAGACTGCAGCTTGCATTCTTGGTGATGTGATTCAGTCATCATGTTCTGAAGCTGTTAATCTGTTTTCCATTATAGATGGAGAAGAGAAAACATACGGTGGGTGTGAGGGCCCAGACGCTATGTATGTGAAGTTAATATCCTCTGATGGCCATGAGTTCATTGTAAAAAGAGAGCATGCATTAACATCAGGAACAATAAAAGCTATGTTGAGTGGACCAGGTAGGTACAAACGATTTGGTACCTTCACGTCCTTTGTTTTCACTTTTGGACAGTTTGAATTTATATCATGCGGTGAGTGAAAGTTAGAATAAATGAGAACTTTTCCAGATCCTGCTTAGTTCCTGTTCCTTGTGGAACAGTCCACCTCTGTGCGGTACCATGCTACCAGATGTGTAATTGGACTCTGTCTACTTTTGGACAGTCAGTGTTCTTACAGTGGCATTACTACTAGTTTCCTGTGGTATGAGACCTTGAGGAAGTTCAAAACCAACAAGAGTTGGTAGTTTTTCATTGCCACCTCCATGGTGGAACTTCTAGTATTCTGTACTGGGTCTGGCTGGTACAGAGTTAATTTTCTTCATAGCAGGTCAGAGGGCTCTTGTGACCAAACCAATGCCGCTGACACACCAATGCTTTAGCTGTCGCTGAACGGTATCCAGGCCTTCTCTGTTTGTTGCTCTTCCCCCCACCCAACGAGTAGACACAGGGGTGCGCGAGAGGTTTGAAGGGGGCACCACCAGGCAGGTGACCCAAGCTAACCAAAGAGAGATCGCATGCCATAGAACGTCATGCTCAGAAGTAAAGAGGGAGAGGAGGGGTTAGGGAGGGTAGCTGTCTTTTGCTTGGGAACTGTCTGGGCATTAGTGTACCCGTGGGAGGTGGTGAGTGATTGCCCTTGCTTCAGTTGTTTTGTTTCCTTTCTCTTCCTCCACTTGTCTTTCACTTATTAGACAACTTTTTGTCTCAACCCACGGATTTTCTTGCTTTTCCTCTTCCTTTCCTCTTCCCTTGTCTGCTGCAGGGGGAAGTGAGCAAGTGGCTGTGCGGTGCTTGGCTGCCTGCTGGGGTTTAGGCCACAATGTGTTCACAGGATCCTGTGTCAAGGAGTTCCTGAGCTCAGTGACAAAAGTTAGCCTAAGTTTGAGAGGAGGGTAGATAAACTTACAGAAGGGAAGGACCTCACGTGATACTAAATATGTGAGACTACCTCTGGTTTAAGAAGTGTCTGAACTAATTCTTGAGGACTGAAAGGGTGGAGGAGAGAACAGGGAGAAGTTAATGCCTGTGCTTTCCCTCTTCTGTACTACCATCCCGTACATTTACGTTTGGCCACTTGAGTGGTGGGCAGGAGGCTACGTGAAGCTCTGGTCTGAGTATGGTCATTCCTATATTCTCTTCTAGATTCCAGCAAGGGGGATTACTGGAGAGATCCATTTGCTTAATATGTTTTTAAATTACTTAGTAATAGTTGGGCAAACCGAGCAATTAAAATTCTCGGCTTAATGTTCTGCCAAATATCATTGTAATGGTTGCATTTGAAAATATGTAGCATGTCTGTTGTGCCTGACCCACTCCATGTCAGCCTCCCAGACGTATAAGAGGAAGAGTAGTTACAAGACCTGCTCTGAATTTGTTCCACGAACAATGCAAAGGAATAAAAGGTGAAGTAGTCTGCTTAGAGGACTAGAAAACTGTCTTTGTAAAGGAGTCAGCATTCAAGAATATTTTGGATAAAAACTAGCAAGGTAAATGGGTTCACAAGGAAAAGTACTCTTGCTGTCTGGATCAGTAGGTTATCATTTCAGTGATGTGTTCTCTGTGACAGTAGTGTGACATTGCCAATATGCTGACATCTCTCTGCTGTTGCTTCCCTCTGTTCCTGGATTAGAATTCAAGCCAGCTCGGCTTCGGTGCATGCAGACGTTAGTAAATAGCTCTGCTTTGCAGTTAGAAGGGGATTCCCCTAGAACTAGTGGGAACCAAACGTTGCTAGGTGTCCCATGAAAATGGAGTACGTGTTGGTGGGTTTTGTGTTGTCTTTCAGCTTAATGAGTTGAAAATCAAGAAAGATGAGGAGAAGCGGGACAAAGATCACAGCAGAAAGGCTGTGGGACTAACCACTGGATGACTTCATATCATCCAAGTTTCATGCTTATAGGCACTATGGAAAGCTAATTTCAAATGTACTTGTGTTTTGAGATTTGAGCTTTGGATAAATTCTTCAGTATCTAACAGGGATAAACTCGTGTGTAACCTTCCCTCCAGTACAGGTAGGGTTTCCCGGTTGCTCCTGCCTGCCTGTTTTCACAGCTTACCAACTTAACGCATCTTTGAGGTTTCAACCCTCTGTCAGATCTGCCTGAAACTGAGTGAGAAGTTCAAAGCTAGTGGGGTCACAGAAGGGACTACTGATAAGTGTGCTTATGGGGATGCAGAACATCTTTAAACCTTTTTTTTTTTTTTTTTCTTGGATAAGACAGCTAGAAATTTGGATTGATACCTTTTTTAATTTTTTTTTTTATGTTGTTACCATGATCTTTAGAACAGAACACAGTACAGTTTTAGAGCACCTGTCAAGCAAGCATCAGAATTAAACCTGAATTTCCGGTGTAGTTGTTCGGAATACTGTTAATAGGCTGCAGCCAAAATAAACATTTTGTAATGCAGGGGATCTTAATATTGAGGGTCGTGAATGTTTTGCACTGAAGAACATCTAATACCTGGGCATACGGGACTTGAGCAATTTAGAATGTGTTGTATTTGTGTGGTAAGGCGTTTCATTTTGCAGTGAATTGAGATTCTGACTTTTTGGTGTGGTGTTTTGTTTTTGTTTTTTCTACAGGACAGTTTGCAGAAAATGAAACAAATGAGGTGAATTTTAGAGAGATCCCATCCCATGTCCTATCCAAAGTATGCATGTATTTCACCTACAAGGTCCGCTATACTAACAGCTCTACGGAGATTCCTGAATTCCCAATTGCACCTGAAATTGCACTGGAACTTCTGATGGCTGCAAACTTCTTAGATTGTTAAATAAAATAAATTATAATAAAAAATGTAAAACTTTTTTCAGTATTTAATACATGTAGTTCAGTTAGTAACTTTTTTCAGATAGCATGTTGCGTGTGTGCTGTTGAGAACTGTAAAGTTCACTGCAGAGGCAATTGCCTTCAGTCCTTTTGCATATAGCAATCATTCAGTTGAAATTTGTTTTGCTGCTTACACAAATAAGGACCTTTTCACAAACTGAGACAAATAAACAAATATGCCAATTAGTAGATGGCTATGCCTTATCCTTTAGGTGTGGTAGAACTTTCTTTTAATACAAAGACAATAGAAAATACTCAAGTTTAGTCTAATGCTCTCTAAAAGGTAATTATAGTTAAATACGAGTAGCTGTTTAGGGTTTCTAACTTTCTCTTATTGTTAAAGTTTCTAAACATCTGGACTTAATCTCCTTTGTAAGATAGCTGTCCTTTAGCATAGTCCTACTGGTTTGATTAGAAGTGCCCTCCCTAAGGTTTGTATACTGACAGCGTTTAGGTTGAAAGTGGAGTATGTAGGAGAACGCTTCAGGCTTTTAATTTAAATCATAGTATAGACATGTGTAAAGGTGTACTTGATAGATTTTTCTTTTATAACCTAAACTTTCCCCATTAGTAATTACCAATATTCCAGTCACTTGTCTGTACAGTAAGAACTGTGATCCTACTGACAGTGGCTTTTAAGGGGAAAAGTAACTCTTACAACCTGTGTATATTATCTTCTGTATAACATATAAGGTTATTCTCAATGTACTGTCACTTGACCTGATATAAATTTTATATGGTTTCAGTTATGGTTTATTTCCATTGTTGTGATCGGTTATGTAAAGTCTGTATTTAATCTTTAGAGTAGTAGTGATTTAAATTTTGTAACGTAGCAACTGAAAAGATAGCAGTTATCCTATCTTTTACCTCTTCCTCAACCTCTCCCTTGTAGCCACAGAAAAAGACCCTGAGATGTGGGGGTCTTTAATATTTGAAGGAAAGGGCATTAAGCAGATGTTTAAGGAGCTGTTTTATAAGTTTCATAGGTATTTCCAATGTTTTTACAAATATTTTAGGGGAAAAGGATTGGCAAGCCACTGTCACAAAACTAGAGTGGAACACATCATCTCTTGGTAGTTCCTGCTGGTAGTTGCCTATACTGACAGTTCTTTGTTCAAAACAAGTTTCCATTAAACAAAAAACCACACAAAAAACCCCCTATAAACTTCAGACAAGAAGTTGCTTTTTGTTCAGCTGCAGCCTGAATCATCTGTAAATGCAAATAAATCTAATGCATCATAAACAGTGATGCAAGACCAACGTAGTTAGCGTTTCCTTCAGCTGCCACCGCTTCAGCTTTGTTTCGATCAAGAAGTGGTTGTGGCCTTTCATGGAAAAGTCCCACCGACAGATTGTGGGACCTCTTTATTGACTCATGGTGAGTTTAGAGGGCTGAAACTCTCTCTAAACCTGTTTGCCAACATAAATGTGACTTTGAAGAGATTTTTCTGGAGAAAAACTAGTAATTTTCGTAGACTATGCAGTCTGCCCACGGAGGAGTTCGGTTCTGACAAACGAAATTTTACTCTGGGCTTGAACAATGCTTGATAGACAAGCTGACACGTGTCAATGTGTTGATAGATTAGCTGATGTTTATTCACATGGCGTAGTTTGGCACAATTTATTGTGTTTAATGCGGGGATGTTTATGACTAGATTGGTTTTGCACGATAAAGCTGAAGTGCATTGCAAGGCGATTGTCTGAAATCCCATGTTTAAGGAGCACTCTGGTTAGTGCTGTTAGCAGCTCATTTTCAAGAGCACTAAAAAGATAAACAGGAACCAGAGATACCCTGTTATGCTGCTTTTGTTAGAGCCACTAGGAATACCCTACAAGGTCAAGGAATACCGACCTGGGTATTTTAGTCCCAACTACATTTCGGTCTGAGCAAGTCTTAAGTTCTTTGGCCATTTTTAGTAGTCTTGAGGTTAATGACTTGAAGTTAAAAATTATTTAGTTTAAAACTGAAGCAGAAAGGATGTCATTTTTTAAAAAAGGTGTTGTTTTTTCCCCCCCATTTAAGCATTCCAAAACAATCTCCTATTAAAATACATTACATTTTATGATTCCATACTTCAGCAGTAAGGTAAAATAGCTGGTTTAGTTCTGAATAATAATTTAATTGTTTTTCCTTCAGTTTAATGTATCATACAGTAGCTTTGAACACTCAGGAAATGCAGTAGTGCCCCAGAGCGCACTATTTGCAAAACCACCGGCTGTTAAAACCAACCAGATTTCTAAGGGGGAGGGGGGCAGAGGGGATTAGTGCAATTTCCGTGACAGTGACATGGGTGTGCTATTATCAGACAATTGGAAACTTACCACGCTTAAACCCTGAGTTCTAAATAAATTTCAAAATTGAAAATTTTTAAACCTGTGTTTCTGTTGATTTATGACGATTCATGAGCAAGTATTCATACGTAGAACCATGATTTTCATGGCTGTATGGTGAGCAAATTGCTAATAAAATTAGTAGTTGGGTAATAGGTTGTGAAACTGCATGTATAAAATGAAAGGGGGTTTTTCCATGGTTCTGAAGTATTTGTTTCATAAAGTGTTTAGTTGGTGGTGTGCTCTGAAGTACAAGAATGCACAATTCTTAGAAACAACTGAGTACTTAAAAAGGATGGTATTCCTGAATAGCCTGGAAGAGGACACTTTGAAGACTTCAGGTGTCCCATAACTCTCCTTTTAACTTAGTCAGCTAGTCCTGTATCTGATGGTGCAAATTTTAAATTGAACCACTGATTTAGCAAAAAAAAAACCCCTTCCGGATTCTTTACTAACTGTGAGCCCTGAGAAGAGCCCTGCTGAGTTATGGGTTTTCATCACCGGGGTATGTATAAGCCACTGCAGAAGTCTCTGACGGTCTCCAACATGACACTCCCTCCGTGTGCCTGGGAGGGTCAGAACTCTGTTCCACAAGGCATGAAATTCCTTTTTGGTGTTGAGGTTGAAGAAAGGAGGACTCGCCTTCAAGAGTCATCGTGCCTTTGTATTCAACAGCTGCGTTGAACACGACGTCCGAAAGGCATTCCTTAATTACCGGCAGTAAGTGTGGAAGATTGGCTGCTTCTGGCTGCGTTTTAGCGCTGTAGGTCCAATTTCACAGGTGTAAGTTGCAGCCGTGGCTGTTCGGGATTTTCACCTTGTTTTTACCCTTCCTGTTGCAAGGGTCTTCCCCACACCTGCCTAAATCTATTGGTTTATGCAATATATAAAGTGGGCAAGGAATGGGGCAGGAAAGTTAACTTTTCAGTCCACGCTTTGTGTCCCTAGTTCTCTTTATTTTGTTAAATCTCAAATGTTGCAGTATAATTTAAGCGAGTAAGAGCTACTGCAGAGTCAACAAAAGCCCAATGTTCGTGTGTAGGCGCTAATGAGAAAGAGCAGTTTTCCTAGCTGAAAACCAAGGGTAGAGGCTGTGGCGTAAACCTGACTTCAACAACTGAGTAAGAGAAAAATAGCAGGAACTCATTATTTTGGGATTGAGTGGATTTGGAAATTAAACTCTTACTCTGGTTTTTAAAGACGGACCGAAGCTTTGCAATCAGCAGAAAAGGCGTTAGGTAGTTTTTCCCATGGAAAAAGTTCAAATTTGAGGGATTTTTTGACAAATGATAAACTGGAGTTGGATTTTTTTTAAATGAGGCTCATTAGGTGGCAATTTTATGGGAAGATACCAATGCTGTGAACTCGGTGTCTTGCACAACGATCGGAAG